CAGTAAGCAAATTCCAAAGCCAGATCCTGGTCAGTCAATTTGTTCGTTTCCGTGCCGCGACCCGGTGCGAGCGGGATCCGTCCCGGATCGGGTCGGCTCGTGACAGGTATTCCACGTAAAAATCATGGTGTCTCTAGTGAATGACGCACTCTCTCTTTTTATCCGTGTGTGTGTTGGGTCTTCATACAACGTTAAGACATTAAACTTTATATTTCTCTATCACTGCAAATACTACAGGACACAACAATTATAATGAGAGGCGCAAAAAAACTATTATATATATAGAGCATCAGCATGATCAAGAATATTGTGCCAAAAAATAAATGCAAATAAGGACGATAAAAATATAACATAAAGACACTAAGATTTATATAATTTTGCTATATCAATTATATGTCCATGTGAGATAATAGAGGATGTGATCGACTATCAAATGATAGGAGTCATAATTATGAACCACAAAGTAAGAGCACTCTATGGCTCTTTTTCAAGTCTCAAGCACACCATACATAAAGAAGAAAAATAAGAAGATATATAATAATGACAGAGATATAATAATTTTTAGGATGCTTTAAACTCTCGGATGAATACTTATACATGTAAAAATATGTAATAATTCAAAATAAAGAGTCACAAATGCTTATGGGCATAAATCATGATAAAATCTAATAAAAATTCTCACAAAATTTTATGTGAGTAATACTTTACCTACCCACAGTTTATTGGGGGATTTATGCCCATAAGTCTTTGTCACTTTTGGGCCTTAAAATCATATGAAAATATATCTCAAAATAAAATAGAGAATAATGAAATATTCATCTCATAATATTAAACCAAGTAAGGCATTATGGTACATTAGATATCTTTTAATAGAAGAATTTTGACTTTATAAACCTCATAAAATAGAAAATGGAGAAACGTGATTGCTATTTATTTTCTTAGAAAAATATACTTAAAGACTTATTTCAGATCAAAATATCCTCACAGTTTGTTTTATATAAATAAATACGAAGTGACCATCGAGCAAATAGTCACAAACTTTTGAGTAAGAAACTACTCGTCCCAATGCCTTCCCCGTCTCTGATGTTCGTTATTCATATGTGATTGGTATATGATTTGAAGCAAGGTTCTTATCTATATATCTAGCTAATATTCAAATAAGAATTAAGTATGGTTTAAAAAAGATTAAGATTTTATTTGGGATGAATTTTTCACTGCTTCTTAAAATAAATTTTTAATACAAAAATTAATTTTTTTTACAAGAAAGTCGTTTTAAGAAACAGTACAAAGCACCCCAAACGAAGCTATATAATTGGTAAAAATAAGGTTTGAACAAAGACTGAGCCTATTTAGAGCATGATTCAACTATGGTTCAATTCCATTTTATTTCACCCTAGACTATCTTTTAGCAAGAATTGGCTTTGTTTGAAATTATTATACTCATATAATGTAGAATGCATTCTCTAATTCATGAAATATAAATAAATGTTATAATCATTACTGGAGCGACCATAATAATAATAATTAATAATTAAGTCGCTTCTGAACAAGCGACTTCGAGACCGTCAAGATGAGAGTAATCATTAGAGTATTTTTGCCAAACTCGATAGTAATTTCTCGTAATTAAGCGATTAATTATACTTTCAGATATAAAATTGTTTAACACATTTAGTATATAGTTCCTGGCAACAGTTTCAATTGAATTTGTTTTGAGACAATTTTTTTATTGATTTCTAAATATATATTTTAAATTATACATTTTTTAAAAATGGATTAAAAAAATAGTAACAAAATTATATCCAACCGAGACTGAAGCTATCTGACGGCTGCAGATATATTCTCTAACCTTTCGGGAAGCATTTTCTACGCCTCGTAGAAAGAGAACATTATTCGAGTGCGTGACACGAACGTAACTTACGTCCGGTCCCACTGGAGATCGCAGCACGTGCTCTTATTCTTTCCGCGCGACCCTTGACTTGATCGGGACCGGAAACCTGGGAATGCTATGCTTCCGTATTGCTAGGTATGCTCGTATTTGCTCGGTATTCCAGGATTGTTTGACAATACGAGAATACCGCTCTTAGACAATGCAGCAATACCGTAATACTGAGGCAATTACGAGTTTTTTAGAAAAACTCAGTATTACTCGTATTTGCTCGGTATTTGTCTTCACATAATGAATATTTCTCGTTATGCCGAGCAAATCGACAAATACCTGCATACGGGTTTCATGGATTTAAAACGAACGGCGACATACCCACTATTCACCGGTCGGTCCGCGGTTTTTGTGCTGCTACGTGGCGCGATCTCAATGCGGCCCAAAAAAACGTAAGCTTTTTTCCCCGCAACGCAAAAACCGGTTTTTTTTCACACGGTTCCAAAATAAAAGTTTTTTCGGTTAAGCAAGAACAAGCCCAATTTTTTTTTTTTTTTTTAATAAATTGTAAAGTGGCCAAGATAAAAACCCGTCCCCCCCCAAATCAACCTTTTAATAGACCGTTTTAATTAATTAAAGAAAATAATGATTTTGTAGCTTTTTTTTTTTTTTTTTTGGGGAATTTTTTTTTATTTTTTTTTTATTTTTTTTTTGTAAGCTATGATAACAACTATCTGTAGCCTTCACCCCACACGTGCCAACAATCTCTCTACTTATCCTTCACACGTGGGATTAGCCCGTTACGCGGGCAGACGCGACACCGTTCTCGCCCAATCCTCATGCCAGGCTCAAGAATACATCTAATCCAACACGACCCTTTCAAGTCCAGTAACATATCAATAGATAAATGATATAAATAGAAAAATATTTATGAAGATCGATAAGTATATCGAAAAAACAACCATGTCAAAGTCCTATAAATATTGGCAACATCGTCCAACTGTATGCCGTCAGATCGTATTCTCTCTAGTGATAAAGAGCGATTTTGAAGGGTTTGCTCACCTTCCATATGGTGGGATGCTATTATGTGCGATATTTTCTTCGGCGCTATTAGGTAAAGACAAAGAAAACTCTCATTCTTTCCATTATATATTTTTCTTCTTCATCCTGAAAAAGGTCTGTAGTTTGAAAAGATTAATCCACCGTTATGTTTATTTTATTAATGGTTTTAATGATTCTCATTTTTATTTCTTTTATCGGTTTCTTGCTCATTTATGCTGGATTGTAACTCTACGTGTTATTTGATTAATACTTTTTAATGATTTCGATTTGGGTTTGGTTAATGAGGGCGGCTGGGTGCAGCAAAATTTAAGGTTTTTTTTTTTTTTCTTCTCCACCTGTCTGGTTCTAGGGTTACTGGATGGTTTGGCATTTGTTGAATCGATTGCTTTCTTGCTGTCTTTTTGGAATGTGGAATGGATTTCTAGATCGATTTGTGATGGTTTATTCTCCTGTTTGCGTTCAGATTTGGGTGGGCGGCTAGTTCCAGTGGGGAGCTTTATTGGCTTTGTTGGTTCATTGAATTGTAGAACAGTGATTGAATAATTTTATTAGACAAAAAAAAAAAAAAAAAAAAAAAAAAACAGGGTAATGAAATTACTATTTTAAGAATAATTTTATTAAGAGGGATATGAAGTAATATTAATATATATATATATATATATACCTATCATTATAAATAGAAATTATATATATAATATATTAATATATATATATATATATATATATTTAAAAGTTTATCTGATTGAGATAGAATTAAGTGATTTGGACGTGTACAACGAAGATGGGAAATGAAGCTGTTTGATAGGTTGATGAAATTAGGTTAGAAAGTTTATGAAGCAGAATAGTAGATGTAAGATAATATGGATTGAAACTGTTCAAAAATTATTTTCACCTAAATGATTGGGACGTGGCAATGATGCTGTAAATGATATCTTTTGACCGTTGATTTCTTTATTGTTTTTCCCTTTTCTCTTTTTGACTTTTAAATTTTGTTGTTTTGGATTTTTGGTTTACAGATAGATATTTGTAGGCATATTAGTGGAGAAAAGATGGCTGTGGAAGACAGTGGAGCTGAAGTGGTTGCTCTCAATAAGGCAAAGGAGCTACCGGAGCCAAAACCTAATGCTAGGGAGGCAGAAGATAAGGAGACTGAACTCAATTCTAACTATCAGGCTTATCCTGAAGCACTTGCTAGTTACCAAGATGTTGTTGAGAGTAAAAGTTTATTCATGGAATCACTTGAGAAGTTGCATCGTGAAATGACAACCAAGTTTATGTGAGTTTTATTTTCCTTAATTATGAATTCTTCGCTCCTAAAATTAGATGTTCCTGTTGTCTTTTTTTTTTCAACCGGCGGAGATGTAAGATTATGATTTTTCAAGTCTGAACTAATTGAATTTGTAAAGCTTTTTGAATTGACTTGTCACGTACCCAAAATTATGCAATAGATGAGATGAAGTTGGACATTATTCTTTTTCTGCAATAGATCGCGAGATAAAAGTTTTTGTATGTTCTTTTATAGTTTTGGGCGAACCAAAACATAACATTTCTCTTGTTTTTGGTGTGTTTTCAGTCCTTGAGATATCTTGGAGGTAGGAAATTGAAGCATTTTTTATGATATGAACTAAATTACATGCACTACTATTTAGGCTTTAGGAAGTAATTGCAGTCAATTGGTTGTAGTTGCTTTGCAAGGGTTATAAACAATGATATATGTACCATAAAGTACATTAAATAGTGGGAATTCATTTTTATGATTACATTTTATCCCATATACTTTCTTCCTTCAGTTTCTTTCATATTTATTTACCAATCCTGAGTTTTTAAACCTTTTCCTTTTTACTTTTATATATTTGTTCATAGCCTTGCTGGATGAAGTAGCTTTAAAGCATTGCACTCCTGTCTTAGGAAATTCTGAATGAATCAAAATATTTAGGAAAAAACTACAACATAATTTCTAACTAAAATGTCCCGAAGTTAACTTATCACAATTTGAACTGGCTAGATTTTCTCATTGTTGTCAGAAACCTTTAGAAGATCACGCCTCATGTGATAATTTTCTTATGTATTTATGCCTTTCTTTTATATTATTATTAGGATCCCCACCATTGGAGGGAAGGAGCTTGATCTACATCAACTATTCTTGGAGGTTACATCTCGAGGTGGTATTGAGAAGGTATCACAGAAAAATCATTGAAAACTGCACAATGTATAATTTGTGTGATCACTGTTTAATATACACTATTTTGTTTTTTTGTTAAAATCTTTATATATATATATAT